AGAATAAAACAGGTTATTAATATAAAGTATTAATATTTAAAATGTTAAGATTTCCAAATTTTAATGTTAGGATTTCCAAATGTCTGTATATTAACATAAAATACAATAAGAAATTTTATAATATATGAAGTATTGGGTGACTATAAATAACTGTCTAAAGTTCTAAAAGTTTTCAAAATATATGTTGAGAAACATAGATTTATTGGAAAGAGAAAAGATATACTGATACAATGGTTGATTTGACTTCTTCTTTGGTTTTCGATGATCTTAGAAAAAGTTTTAATAAGAATGAAGTTCTTGCTAGAATGATTCACTTTTGGGAAGCACGTAACATCTATAAGGTTGGTTTGCTAATGAGTTTCGAGTTATTACTTATTGATCAAAAGATATGAAAAATATTATTAGATATTATCTATCTATACNTTATTTTAAAAATGTTAATGTTACTAAACATAAAATAATAATAATAAATATGTATAAGGGAAACTTAAAAAAGTAAACCATTATATATAATTTAGTTTTAATATTTATAGATTTTCGAAATTAATTAAAATAACAAATTATCTTAACTTTACTATTTTTGTAAAAGTCAATATTAAAAAAAATTAATTTCCAAAATAAAATATAAATCAATATCAAATATGGAAAACTTAAAAAAATAAAACATCATATGTAAGTTAAATTAATATATAAAATAATTACGAAAATAAGATAAAATAATTACCAAAAATAATTAGTCAAATAATTATCTTAATTTTACTATTTCTTAAAAAAATGAATAGTAATGTATATATATATATATATATATATATATATATATATATATTCTATACTATTTAAAATTGAGGCTATAAGACATTGAAAACTTTCACATAGAATTTAAAAAAACCAATCATATCATGATACATAATTTTTTATTTGTTATTTAAAAAAAATGTTAACGTTGCCAAAACTATAATTTCAAAATAAAAAATAAATATGTATCAGGTAAACTTACAAAAGTAAAAACATTATATATAAGTTAACTTTACTATATTACAGATTTGTGAAATTAACATTAAAATAACTAATTATCTTAAANAATCAGTATAAGCTTAATATATAATGTTTAAGCCATAAATCAATATTAACAAAAATGATCTATTTCAAAATAAAATGTAAATCAGTATCAAAATTTGATAAACTTACAAAAGTAAAAACATCATATATAAGTGAGGTAGTTAACTAAGTACATAGAAGAGTTTTAAAATTAACATAAAGTAAATACCAAAAGAATTTGGAAAATGACTATCTTAATTTTGTTATTTCTAAAAAGGTGAATGGTAACAAAAATCTGTACTATAACAAATATGTTAATATTAAAATTTTATACAACTTAAAGAGAAAAAAAATGATATTTTCTGAGTACAGAGCAAAATATATATTATGCTGAAGTTTAATCTTTTATTTTGTTTAAAAAAGATATAAATAATGTATGATGAAAATATTATAACGTGTTAAAAGTTTACATGTATTGAGAAATCTATTTAATATTTTAAAATATAAATTAATATTTCCAAAAAATATGAATATGTTTAGAAACATAATTATTATATTTACAAATACAAATAACTAAATAGCTAATAAGATAACATAATTATAAGAAAACATAAATACAAAATTAAAGATTATATTTTAAATAAGAAAATTATATTACTCAATTAATATTTTAGTTTTAAGTTATTTTAATTAAACGAAATTATTAAAACAGACTCGCGCGTAGCGCGAGTATAAAATCTAGTCTATATTATAATAGTTCACTTCTAAGACTTCTAAAGCTGTCCACATCAGCAAGTTTGTGGGTCTTACGTATTTAAATTTTAAAAGCTTATAGTTTTTTTTTAAAATGACTATGCATAATGAATACATTTTAGTAAAGTGGTATAAGGCATCTAATTAAGTCTGCATGTGTGTGTTTTTTCGTTTGGATTATTATCATATGGGTTTTTTAGTTTTAATGTTTTTTTCCAATGGACTTATTGTTTAAAGCCCAAAATAGTGAAAAAAATCCTAAAGCTTGACGAACTCAAACCCAAAAACAATTAAAAATAGATCAAAAAACAAACAACCAAAAAAAAAGAAAAAAAAATGAGTCTCGCACGGCACTATCATGTCCTAATATATATTTTCAAAAAATTATGTATGTGAAATAAAATAAAAAAATATATTTTTGTTATTTATAAAATAACTATGTAATTTTTCTTCAATTTTTAATAGTTACTATAAAATAACTCCGGCGAATGGATTTCCACAGTCGATGACGCCGTAAAGAAAAATACCACATTATTCATGAACAAAATCCAAATTTACAAAAAAACATATTCAAACCTATCTATTGAAACCCAAACAACAAATATTTGCTTAAACTAAAGTTATTTTCAAATTGATAAATCATTTAGTACAAATATAAATACTATAAATAAATTTTTGTATCAAGTTTTGACATCTGATATAAAAACTATTTCCAACATAAAAAATAATATAGACACCTATTTCTATACACTAAAAACTATATTATAATTTAGTTATTCCTATAAACCTTATTTCGCATATAAATAACATTTAACACATTATATATATATATATATATATATATATATATAATATTTTCACTTTACATTCTTGGTACATTCTTTCCATTTCATCATTATTTGGTATTATTAGAATAACTCACTAAACCAACAACCGAAAACAACACAGATCCCGGCTCCGCGCTTGCGCGGGAGTTATGCATCTAGTTAGCATAATGCTAGAGTACATGTGAAATTATATTTTGCCTTCGTTTGGTTGTACTCTTGGTTCTAAGACGATTATATTGTTCCGGTTTGTTTATAAATGTTTACATGCTACTGCATCTGTGAATAGTTTTGGAAAACGAAAAATAATACCTTTAACAAAATACAGGTAATAAATAAACATGTCATAAGATGTTCATTAACATGTCATGAAATAGAAAAGGAAAATATGTATATTTAGTAGTGTTACAACATACAACACACTGCATAGAGATTCTATTTATTGAAAACAAAACGTTCTAGGAGTATCGTAGATAATAAAATGGAATAACTATAAGCGGTGACAAGGACAGGAAGCATGAAAAAAAAAATGATCGGCTATAACACAATTGCAAATTGCAATGAAAAACAAAATAATCTTTAAGAACACAATGTAAGCATATGCAAACTGGAAAAGAAATGTTAACAAAATCAAAATGAAATAAAAACGTGTGGGCAGCTTGGTTTTTGAAACAGCAGGAAAGTGGTGCACACGTAAATGTGATTATGTCGCTTTATCTACTGCAGCTGTGATGATCAGGAGTGGTGATGATTGGCAGGAGTGAACAATAATAACATGGTTTTCACCACGATCATCAGTCAGAAACCAAACTGATTATTATCCTATAAATAGACTTATAAAACGATACATAAAACTGAGTCTTAGAATATAGGATTGTTTCCTATTATAGCATGTGAGAAATGTGCATTTTGTATGTATATAATCAGAACAAATGTATATAAGATTCACATTAAAACATACAGCTAAAAAGTTTGTTGTAAAGAAAAACAAATAGCCAAGAAATCTGTAACCTTCGAATTGAGCCAAGAAATCTGTGTTAGTATACATAAACTAATTCTGTTTAAGGTATACTTGTTCCCCAAGTACATTGAAAATTCGTCCTAGAGTCGCTCCGCCAACTGGAACACTTAGAGCAACATTATAGGAAGGACCCAAATTTTGTCCTTAGCATTATTATTGATTATTTTAGGGTTTAAGGACAAAATTAAAAACTTTTGAATTTTTGTTGATTATTGGTAAGGACTTTTTTGAATCCTTAGAAACGTCGCCATTCAATCTTCCTCTTCCGTCGCAGAAGCTGTTTTGGCTGAGGATGGCTCCTCCGCCGGTGAAGAACTCGTGGTCAGAGAAATCAAAGTAAACGGCTTCAGTTGCGAATCTAGGAGCCTCGTTGAGGCTGTGTTTGGGGATCTAGTGGTGAGGCGGCTTCTTGTCGAGCTGTTGGTGGCTGTAAGATTGCGCCTTGCTATGCGGAGGAGTAGGGGCGGCAGTGACGTCAACGCCTCGTCGTCTCCAATGATTCGAGAATCCATGTGAGATGAGGATTATGATCAAAGGAAGTCAGGAGAATGTGGAAAAATGAGAGGAGAAGTCAGGAGAGAGAGGAGAGCACACCCTTACGCAACACGTGTCCTTAAGGACAAGCATTAAACGTCCCCTAATTAACAAACGAAAGTTTCGTCCCTAACTCACTTTGTTTAAAATAATAATAATTAAAGGTTAAGGACAGTGTTAAGGACACTGATAATGTTGCTCTTAGAGGATTTCCCTAAGAAATAAAATAGTTTAGAACGATGGTAAACAAGAAAAAGTAGATGGTTTGATTATTTGATAAACAAGAGTCTCTTGATTTACGCCAAACGTTTGTTAATACACCTTTCTAGACATCATCATCATTCTTCAATACCCGTAATTAATTAAGTAATCTAATCTTTTTCCAATTAGTTTAATCGCCGTATTTATAAAAAAAAACTCAATTAAATTCACCAAAAAAGAGAGTTTTAAAAATTCAATATCATCCCGTCTACCATACGTAACGCCTCTAACGACAACGGTGTCGTTTTCAGTCTTCCGTTTCTATAAAGTTTTGGCTTCCGTTGAACCAAACCCTCAAAAATAAACGGCCAAGATCTCTCTGACCGCGTTTCCACGCTTGCTACGCCACTCCTCCGAGAGCTTTATTAAAAAACTTTATTACTTGTCTCTCTACATCATCTCTCTCTCTATCTCTCGCTCATCTCTCCACGTTTTTGTAAAATCACAGACAGACGGCGGAGAAGTCATATCATCGTCGCTCGGAAAAGTGAAAAAGGTAACGCTTTGGAATAATTCTTTTCTTTCTTCTATGTCCAGCTAACGTGTGGTTCTATTATATGATCGCGAGGAAGAAATAGTTAGTATGTTTGGTGCTTGTTTCAGATTCTCTCATATGTTGCTGTTTATGTCTTTCCATTGATAGGATCATCCGGTTCTTGTTTTTTTTTTACTTCGGTTCTTGTTTTATTGATATGTATTACTTGTAGCTTTGATCGGAGATCCAAAGGGCTGAGTTTATCTATTTGTATCTTTGCTATATGTCTCTCTCTCTCTCTTTTGATTTTTTTGTTTTTTTTTGGGAAGTGATTGAGCTCTACTTTCATGGTGAACCTGGAAGCACGGATAAAACTGTTGATAGTCCGTTTAATTCGAATTATTACTCTTTATTTTCTTTTCTTTTTTTGGATTTGGACTACCATTAGTTTCCTCCACTTTTCTCTCTTTGTCCACGAATCATATAATCAGCTTTTGTGGGTCTGATGTTTTATAAACAACACCAAGGTGTGTGTGTGTGTGGATGATCAATAGATGTTCTTCCGGTAAGCTTCTTTTTTTGTGTGTGTGTGGTTAATCTGATTATTCTCTCTGTGATTCTTTAAACCTTTTTTTTGTTTTGGTGGAAGCTTCTGATGACTTGTTTATTTGTTGAGTTTTTTTGTTTGGTGTTACTAAAAATTCTATTTGAGCATCCATTTTTAATCATATATACAGTATCTGAAATTTTTTTATTAAGTTGTCTGTTTGCAGAGAAAAAGGTTTCTTGTTTTATCAATGGATGGATGTGCGGGTAAACGATCGGTTGACAGGATGGTTTTGCCTAGAAAAGCAAGCATCCCTGAGAATATGAACAAGAAAAATGATAAGAGTGTTGGTTGTAGTAGTGCAAAGGTATCTTACACCAAGGGAGCTACGCTTGGCGGCTCTACGGACAACAATGCAAAAGTTGGTCGTCCTCCGGTTTGTTCCTCTTCTAACGGAAAAGAAATTGTTGGGAGTTCATCTCGATACCTAAGAAAGCCAGCAACATTTACTGGCAGGAGACTGCAGCGGTCTAACTTGGAAACAGATTCTTCAGAGGCGAGCAGTGTTCATGATGGTCCAGCTGTAGCGGAGCCCACAAAGACTAAAAGAGGTATAGTCAATGTTCATTCTAAAAACACTGTCTCTGGGACAAAGGTAGGAAGCTCAGGTAGAGGAACCATCATCAAAAATAATCATGACTTGGGGGCTGGAGATTCTCTAATGGGTTCCTCTGTTTCTTCATCTTCTGGTAGTGAGCACACCACTGTAAGAGGTGGTGGTCTGAGCAGGAATGGAATGAGGAGCATGAGGTGCACTTCTATGTCTGATGTTGTTTCAGCTAACTCAACAAGAATCAGTGTGACTAAAAGGAAAAACTCTGATGGGGAGAGCAGCTCCTCTAGCAGAGCAAGTAAGACTAGCGTGTCGGGGGTGAAGGGAAGGAATCAAAACTCTTCTGGCATCACAGTTTCTGACAACAGAAGGAATCTAATAGTACCGACCATCAGGGGTAACAGTGTTGTTTCTATTAGTGGTAGAAGATCTGGTACCTTTGGTAGATCAGGGAGACTTGGAGTTATTGCATCCCCTGCTACTTCTCGACAAACGTCTCATCCTGCAACACCAACCGATCCTAGTTCTTCTCTTTCGATGATTCCATCAAGTAGTCTTAGCAGGCTGAGCAGTAATACTGGTCGTTTACGTAGCATGATGCCTGGTGGCCTCGGAGAAGATGGCCCTTCTTCACCTTCACGCTCTTTGGTGAGCCAGGATGGTTTCAGTCGCTACAACATTAATGGAATCGCAGAGGTAGTTTCTTTCACCTTGTTGTCTGATTTCGTTAGAAGGTTTGGCATGTTCCTGGGTCGTGATAACACTGTTTTGGAAACGTTTCAGGTATTGTTGGCCCTGGAAAGAATTGAACATGATCAGGAGCTTACATACGAGGTATATAGCAGCTTGGTCTTTTGATATGAACATGTTTGTCCGAGTAGAGAGTGTTTCTGACATTTCTACTGTCTGTTCTGCTTTCATTTGACATAGCGACTAGCTTCTTTGGAGACTAGTCTATTCTCAAGTGGTATGATCAGATTTTACGATGAGCATAGGGATATGAGGCTTGACATTGATAACATGTCATATGAGGTTAGATTTGCAGCGTTTTTACATCTTGCACCTTAACAATCAAACGTCTTTTAAAGCTGTAGAATCGTATGAAAACAAATCTTGCAGGAACTACTAGCTTTGGGGGATAAAATGGGTACAGTGACCACAGCCCTAAGCGAAGAAGCACTCTCGAAAAGCCTCCAGAAAAGCATTTATCAGGACAAAGATGAAAATGGCCCCAACTCACTGAATAAGGATGATGATATCAAGTGTAGTATTTGCCAGGTCTCTCTCTTTCTCTAAGTTCTAACCAAACATCAAATGAATCAACTGGTTTGTCTAGTGTCTGAGCTGAGATAGGAGAATGTAGCAAAAGAGTTGTAGTTAATGGTACTTAAATATGCTGCAGGAAGAGTATGTTGATGGAGATGAAGTAGGGACTATGCCATGTGAACATATGTACCATGTGAGCTGTGTACAACAATGGTTACGCATGAAGAATTGGTGCCCTATCTGCAAAACCTCTCCGGAAGAAGAGAAGTCGTTGTAGTGATAATGCTACACCCAACTTTAGCTTTGTGAGATGATTCCAAGATGATCAGATACATTGTTTCTTCTTCTTCTTCATCAAATACTTGTCTCTACATCATCTTGTTCTCTCTCCTTTTGTACATAAACCATTTTTTTTCCTTCTGCACTTGTATCAAAGCTCAAATTTTGATTCGGACCTGAAACATTTTTGTAGTCTATACCAACTTAAAGTTGTTTTTGTTCTGCATTCTTACAATTGTGTTACTTTCTCTTTATCTCTCTCTGCAATGGATAATACCTTAGGGGAATAACATTATGTGAGAAAATAAAAGGCAACAATGTAATTTTCATAATTAATGGAAAAAATCAGGGTATATAAAATTACAGAATGAAATATAACTGAATAATGTTTTTGCAGTTGATCTTAGGATATTTCTTAATAAGTATTGCAGACAAAACTTGGGGATAACTCAACAATTTTCTAAAGAACAAAAGCGCAAACAATAGATTATGAGTCTTGGATAATCCGAGTAACTTTGCCCATCGCGACTGTTCTTCCTGATGATCTAAGGAACACTCTTCCGAGAGCTCTGCTTTCAGAAAACGTCTCCACACAAACTGGATACTGAAGACTCACCTGCAGATGATTACAACAAAACATTTTCATACCGAAGCAGTTTCTTTAATGTTTCATACAAGTCTAAGAGAGATTTCAAACCTCAAGCATTGCACTTTGTTTAGCAGTTAGACAACGAGGAGACTTCTTTGTTGGCTCCCCTGTTTTGGGATCAAGCATTGCCACAAGCTTCACTACTGTTGCTGCTTCCTTTGCATGGTGCACATGAAACTCCAACTATAAATTCAATTGAAAAGGATCAGAAAACTTGAGACGAATAATAGGAGACTGAGTATGCAAGAGAGGGTCTCTTTCTTTACCTGAGAACCAAGTAAGATCGGTGTTGCTCCTTCTAAGACGAGCACCATAAGTTCCAAATGAGTTGCTACTGAAACCGGGTAATCAGGATGGCACAGCACACCTCCTGCCATTACTTGATTTGCATCAATCCCTTGCAAAGCTATTGCTACGTTATCTCCTGCTCTTGCAATGGTGCAACCCTGAGAGTCACGCTCCAGAGACTTCACGGTTCCTTGATCTCCCGATGGCATTACCATTATCTAGCAGAAAATTCCAGCAATGTTAGCCCATCAGTTAAAGCGGTTTGATTTGGATCCTTAAACAAGATACTCAAGGCACATCCATACGAAAGTATTTCCATTTAAAGCAAATGATAACAACGGGACTTAACAATAAGAAACCTTCAATAAAGTAGTAGTTGTGTACCTTGGATCCTGGCCGAACAGCTCCAGCTTCAAGTTTGCCACATGCAGATACCTGCCCTTGCGAATTCGACCTTACAACATCACATATAGGCATGAGCAGAGGCTTTGAGACGTCTCTGTCAGGAGACTTGACAGAGTCAACAGCATCCAATAAACAAGGACCGTGATACCTGTATTTCAGAAAAAACAAATAAACCATGTCATGGCCGGTTCAAGATATGTTAAAGCAATTTATACAGTAAGTATCAGGAAAAGGAAAACAACAACATACCATGAGGATAGGCGGCTTTCAGAGGGAGCTGAAACCAAGTTTTGGTTTTCCATGGCACTTAATGGAATCCATGTCAGAGACGATTCTTTAAAACGACAGGACTGCAGAAAAGATCCTACATGTTGCTTAATCAAATCAAATCTGTCCTTCGAATAACCAACAATATCCATTTTGTTAACTGCAACTATGACTTGCTCCACGCCGAAACCTCTAAGAACCCGTGCATGCTCCCTTGTCTGGCCTTTCAAATTATCAAAACCAGCTTCAAAAGCACCAATAGATGCATCTATGACAAGAATCGCAGCATCTGCTTGTGTTGCTCCTGCTATCATGTTTGGAACAAAATCTTTGTGTCCAGGAGAGTCGAGCAAAACAACATGGTGTCTTTTGGAATTGAAATAAGCAACAGCCACAGTCATTGTTATTCCTCGCTCCCTCTCTTCAGCACTCTCATCCAATGCCCAGGCATATGCAAAGGACCCTTTGCCCTGATGGGATTAGACACACAATGTCAACCAAACAGAGAAAATATTGTCTCTTAACATCCAAAAAAGTAACAGGTTACCTGAGACTTTGCTTCTTTCTCAAACTTGTGCATTTGTTTTTGAGATATTCTTCCCAAGAGATGCAGTAACCTACCCGAAAGTGTTGACTTACCGGAATCAACATGTCCCACCTACAATCAGATTTATTGTAAACGTCAGTAATAATATGTATGGAAAAAAATTAGTATATAGCCGCTAGAAATCCAGAAAACTCACAATGGCAAGATTCAGTTGACTTAGTGTATCTGATTCTTTATCAAGAAGCATCCACTCCTCTGGCTTATGATTTGATTTTGATTTTGCTCTTTTAAGTTTTATATCCCTGGAGCTTTCTGTTTCCCCAGTCAAAGACATATTGTTCATAGTACCGGTAAGACTCTCCGACACCTCCATATTTTTTGACGAAGAACTTGTTCCTTTAGATATATCTGCTTTTTCTTTTGGTAAACTTTTGAAAGATTGTATACCACCAACGTTATCGTGCCTTCCTTGGGAGCTTGTTTCTGATCTGTCTGTTCCTTTCTTTAAAGGATTATGTTCTGCGCTATCTTGCTTCCCTTTCTGCTTCATGCTATCTGTTAGAGTTAAGAGCGCACTTCAACCACAAATTGAAAATAAACTAGACGAAACACACAAAACCAAAGTACGAGAATAACTCTTCTTCCTCTAAATTGTTGAATGATTATCACAATCGATCTCCATTCCTATTTATCAGAAAGTTTATTCCCAAACCTAAAAGGAAACTAAGTAGAAACATTAATCCAACTGAAAAAAGGAAAGAACACAAAAAAAAATGGAAATCCTAAATACACTTGTACTAAAACATCACTAGCATTACAGTGAAAGCAGAGGAAAATAATATGGCATACAGGTTTCCAGCATCTAATCCGTACAATAACAAAAATCACCAAAAAAAAGTGAAAGCCAAGTGTGGATACCTGTCGGAACAGTTCTCGAGGACTTTAGTCCATTGGAGACTAAATCATCAGGCGATGGAGCATCAAACTTGAACGGTGCTGTACATACATTTAAATAAAAATAAATGGTCAGAATACCTCTTTGGCACAGTCAAAAATGCAAAGAACCAACTATAGACTCTCAACACAACCATCTTATCAGGGAAAAAATGAAAACATAAAACACTATCAAACTACAGCAAGTTCCCAACCTATACTACTAACGGAGGAATTTTTAGAACTAAACGCCTTGTGGAGATCGTGAATTTTCCCACGGGAAATTCCAGGCAAAGCTCCCTGTGGCTCAGGCTGATAAAGGACATCCCTTTTGGGAGAATTGGATTCGAAAAGGGACTTTGCCAATTTGGATACCATTGGTTCTTTGCATCTGCCTTCAACTGCACAAAACACATCTATTCTATAATCAAACACCCTAGAATATCAAAATCACATGTATAAAAGAAAACCAACCACACTACTTTCTTTTCAAAACAGATAACTAAATAGCTTAATCAATGGCCTCAGAAAAATAAACTCATATGTATACTATGCAGAGAGACAACTGTAACAACAACTACCTTCCTTCTCCGGCTAATATAAACTATAAAGTCTTCACTAACAATATAGATTGAAGGATAGAAGGGACAGTACCTGTATTGTTACTGATAGTTTTGTTTCCACCGGGGACAGGATGACGAATAACACCGCAAATATCACAAACATGCATACTCTCATCATTGTCATATGTACAGATTGCACATCTCCAAATTCCTTTCTTAGCAATTACTTTTTCCTCCTCCTTGGTTTCATCAGCTTCATCAAAAGAGTCAATTAAACAAAAAAACAAATTTTTAAACCTCACCACCAAAAAAAAGGAATGAGAATAAGCTTACCATGTTCATCTTCTTCATCATCATAGTCATAATCATATGCATCTTCATCATCAAAACCATCATCATAATCATCGAAATTTGAGAACCCTTTACGAGGCATCGTTGACTTTTCTGCGAGAATATTAGAAATTAAAAGTCTAAAATTCAGAATCAAAAGCAATGAGAAACAAAGAGACAATAGATACTACTAATTGATTCCAAATTCACTAACTTTTAACTTACCAAAGTAGTGTGGCGAAATTGGATTTCGGAAACAGGCTCCTCGCGACTTCTCCGCCTGCAAATTGCTCTGAATCGAATTGAGTCGTTAGTCTCGCCTCCTGTTGAAGCCGACAAGAAAGGATCCGGATCAGGGTTTGGGTCTGGATTCCTTTGGATGGAGTAACGATCTGGGAACATACATAAAGTGTAATAAAAAACTTAGCTGTTAAGTTGGGCTTTTAACGGGCCTATACATGCTATGTCAAGACCCATCATTATTTTCAGTTCAAAGTTTTTTTTATTAAACTCTAATTATTAGCCGTCGAGAGCATCTTCAATGTAAAACTTCATTTTTTCTTCTAAAATAGAGTAAAAGATAATATGGAGTAAAAATGCTTCAACTCCACTCCATTTTCCACTCCATAATGGAGTGATGAACAAAGAAAAAACAGATTACTCCATAAATGGAGTAAACTCTATTATAGAGTGGGAAATAGAATAGGGTTAGAGTGTTTTCTACTTCATATTCTCTTTTACTCTATTTTAGAGTAGAAAATGGAGTTGGATTGGAGATGTCTTTAGGGTGCTTGATCATGGAGTAACAACATGAGTGCTTGATCAAGCTGGCACAAAGTTACTGAAATTGAACCTTTTTTTCTTTAATTATACAAAGATATTCTGACTCACGGAAATAGTTCAGACTAGTCATGTATTATTATGTGTTGGTATTTTGCTTCTAACTATGCCAAAATATTAATTTCCTAAGCCCTGGTTTCTGAAATTGAACTTCGGCTTTGGATGGTTCAGTAAAACTGACGTCGTCCATTCTATTACCACCGGTTAAGTGTCGGTTCCTGCGTTGAACATTAGCACTATTTTTTTTCTTTTTTTTTGGACAAACTACATTTCATTGCACAAGAGAAAGTTACAATCTATTAAAGGAGGAGATGTTCAAAGAGGCTAGAGCTAATTTAGCCACAATATCAGCCTTACCATTACATAAACGACGAATAAAAGAGAAAGAGACAACACCAAATGATATATATCAAACAAGATGCCAAACAGTTATGAGTGTGATTTATCAGCATGTCTATAACTATAAGGACTTGCACTATTTTAGAGACAAAGTCTCACGTCAAAGTTGTAACGAATCTTAAAATTAGAAATAGTCAATTCACTTTTACGGTTTTACCATATCGATTCATGTTACTATTTATTGAATTTAATATGATATCCAAATTTAATTTATGAATACCCAACCCAAGCCATTATAGATATATTATGTAAATTGATTCACTAGGAAATAATAATAGACATTCTACAAAACCTCGATTCTGAAGTCATCCATGAACCTCTTGTCTGATTCCAAATCGTTCACTTCGACGCCACTAATCTAAACAATTTCGAAAAAGTTTAATATAACTGTATGAACAACATGTTCATCAAAATATATCCAAGCTTTTATGAGTTTGCATGTTACACAAAATTTAAGATGTAAATATTCTTGAGACATCATTCAACTAAATTTCATCTTAGGAAATCCGGTTACAAATATATCCGTTTTCCCAAAAGAAACGATTTAGCAACAATTAACTTGAATGATTTAGATTAGTCAACAAGTTTATTATTAATCATATACATATTCCACATGAACATAGACAATCAGGGAGAGAAGTGATCATCAGAATCTCCATGACAATCCACTTTACACTTCTCTTTATTGCTCGACGAAAACACGAAGTCCAGGTTATAAAGAACAGGAACCATCAACGCAGAGCTCAAGAACACAAGCACGGGTCCAAATATCCATAACATCAAAGGCAAGCCCATGTAGAACAACCTGTTACCTACCGTGTTTAGCAAGAAAGCTTTCTCAAGTAGCTCAGAGACATACTCGGGAGAAGTCACGAAGCTTCCGATTCCACCGAAGTCATCGGAGGATGGTTCTTGAGGAGAGTTAATGAGTATGTTGACTTGGTTGATGAAGCGAATGGAGAGAGAGTGACAAAAGAAGGCAAAGAGAAAGATTGTGAGGATGGTTACGTATTTGAGTGCAACTGTGAAGTCACCATGAGATCCAAATACGGCATCGTTTAGAGGCTTCTTGATGCTATAAGTACTGCTTAAAACGGCGGCTAGACCTGCGCAGAGGAGGATGCAAGTTGTGGCCATAAGCGTCGCTCCCATTATTGTGTTTCGTAGTGTTTGTACGGCCAAGATGTTCTTCTTGTCGTTGTCCTAAAAAACACATTCATATATTAATTGTTAATTATTTGAGAACTAGTTATACTGTTTAAAAAAAAAAAAAATGTGCGTACATACAGTATATACAAGCACATGACAAATAATACACACACACGCATATGTATATGAATATTATGAAACTAGCTAGGAAATATAAGCCAAACCTATAAATTCATATATACATATATAAATATCAACTTAATGATTTTGGCTTATAAATTCCTAGCTAGGTTCCCATATTCCCATATATATATCACTTTATTTGCATGAAACATGTATTTTCGTACATTTTGGATCGGAAAACTAGGTAATTATCTCAGTATGCAATCTTCATGTGAAATTTGCAGGTAACAATAAAATAATTATGTTCAATAGAACTTATATCTTTGACCTAGATCAAAAGACGATTACTACTTGTAAAAAAGGAAATAACTATATATATGTAGTAAATACATCAACGATGTCACAGGATCAGAATATTATTTCGATAAATCGGTTTTGAGTATTAGTTATACCTTCATCATGGCTGCAACCCAAGATCGACGAGCACGGGAATTGGTGCCGACGATGGTAGAGAAAGGTTCGGTTCGAACCTTGTACCACAAGTAGATGTGGTAACTAAACATGACAAGTAGAGCACATGGAACAAGAACTGCATCTAAGTACCATTTCCTCCACTCCATTTGTTTCTCTCTCTTTTTCTATGTAGTGATCTTTTCTTTCTTTCTTGCTCTTCTAATAATCTTGGTTTGTCTTCGTGGTCCTTCCCTCCAGTTATATATATAGTGATTATAATCCAATGCTAATTAAATTATTTGTTCCACAATTTGCCCCTTAGAATTACAAGGGTCACAGTGCCGGTTTGATTTTCTATTTTCATATTAATTTAAATGTTAATGCTTTCTCCTTTTTAATCTTTCTTTATGACTCTGTGAGCTAATTTGAAATTTATGCTTACACCCCGTATCTTTTTAGTTACTACACTTTTGGCCGTGCTTTTAAGGTTAGTGACCACTTGTCTCCCTTTTGAACCTCCTTTCTCAATTTTGTCTTTCATACCTTTATATTATGCTGGCTAGTGTATGCATATATATATAATATATGTTATATATATATAGGAGACAAAACACATATTAAATGGACCATGTCACAACTCACAAGAGCATGATAACAGAATAAAACATTTGTATCTGATGCTATGTACACATGTTACACGATAACCTAACTTATCACCACGTCAAATCTTCTACAGCTCACAGGATACCCAGTACACTTCTTTACGTTTGAAATCCAAAATGTATCCCAAATCTTGAGAAGTACATGCTCAAGATCAAATGTTAGCTTGCATTGTTAGCTGCAGATTGTACATGGAGAACATTGGTTTTGATCTGGAAACCCTATATATCAGTACAACGCTTAAAACAAGTTTCTCATTTTTGTGAATTCTTTCCCACAATGGCACTCGAAATATTTTAATGAAATGACAAAAAAAACTAATTTAAAACATTAGTATCTCGACCGATTGTGGAATAATGCACTAACAATTTAATAAAATGACAAAATAATGAAAAATAGAAAGAAATTAACTGGTAAAGTTTTTTTTTTTTAACATGAGTCAGACCCAATTGGCTAATGGTTGATTCATCCCTTGTATTTAAAGTAAAATCGTGCTTATCGAATTTTAAAACTCTTATCCGCATGCTATTTTATTCATCTACCACTACTTTTTTTTTGTTCACACCATTTAAAAAGTAATAGTTAATGGGTAGATAATATATAGTATTAAATATTAGTGACTCGACAAATAGAGATGAAGTTATATGCGTTTTCTGATAATATCTGCATGTTCATACCAAACACGTAACAGTTATAAACATTCATAGGAGTAACTAACCAGAACATGTACGCACGAGATGGAAGTTGAGAGATATGGACAAACCAATCGAGTTTCAGGTTTAAACCTAATTACCTATTAAACCCTTAGTGCATTAATTACTATACCTAATTTTTAAGTAGTGATTGATCAATGTACTTGGGAACGTAACTAGAAACAGATCGTAAATTTGAATATTCTGTATTTCGATTTCAACGACATGCAAACAATTTAGATAATTTATCCAATTTAAATTCTCCGCTCCAGAATTTAGTCATGAAATCTAGTGAACAGAAAAGCAGTGGTTTATTACTTACCGGTTTCCATAGTATAGTCAAAATTAATTACTTGCTTTAATCATGGTCTTGTATTCTGCAGACTTATCAACCTATGACTTAATAGTCATTCATAAAATGATCCCAACAAAAATACAAATGTGTTTCATGACATTGTGATCAAGTGGTAAAAAGATTGATCTGGAATACCAACACATTTCAAATTTGATTTATTTGCTACGTGAAACTAATTCATATTATTCTTAGATACCATATAAATATGAATCCCTATTTACTGCTCATTTTCAGATTCATAGAAATATCTTTTTATACAATTCATTTTCTTTTGGGGATTCGTCTCAGTTCTTCTATAGATTTGTGATATTAATAGTTAATAAAAAAATATACAATATCTCAATAAATAAATTATTTTCTTCTAACAAAAAATCAAAATAACCTATTAACCCGAAAACATATCAGGAAATATTCCATTGATCTTGAGTTTTTTTTTTAAATGTTGGAGATGAATTATATCTCTCAGATACGATAGAACGAGTAAACAAAACTCAGCGCAATTAAGTTCAAGCTATAGTGCAGATTATGCTGATTTAGAGGTAAAAAAAACAAGCCAAGTATATAGAGAGAAGACCGGAGACTGAAACTAGCATTCACAAACATACGATTTTCATTACAAGTAACTATGATTTTTTCTGCTTTAACGTTTTTACTGAAAATATCATCTTTTCATAAGTTTAGTGGTGGCTCTGAGGGGAAGTTGAGGAAGCATTAGCTTCTGGCCCCCAATT